GCATTGACTGCCGCCTCGTCGAATGACCTTGCCAGCTTCTGCGTCAGCAGGGATTCGGGCAACTCTCTAAGATAATGCTTGAGCAAGCTCGAGACGCTATTCAGGTCCAAATCTGCTGGTCCAATATCTTGCAGTTCCAGATCGCCTCCGGGACGATCGAAAATCAGTCTGAGCTTGGTCGTATGACTGCTCCTGCCCGAAATACGATAGATGCCCTCCTCGTCGGATCCCCATCTTTCGAGAGACTCCAGACAGCGTACGACGACCGCAGGCATATACCGCCTTCTTGCTTCGGCCTGCGACGCAGCGGCAGATGGCGATGCGGATAGATTAGGGCTTCCTACGAATCGAGACGAACGCCGTTCGATCATCGAATCACTAGAAGAAGCTGGCATCGGCACCGAAAAGTCTAGTCCCAGATCCAGATCCTCCAGCTGAGTGAGGGGACGCGGTGTCGTACTTGGGTTAGAGCGCAAGGTCGGATTGACGCTTGCGCCAGTCTCAGCATCTAGGAGCCGGGTGCGGAGTACGGCGTCCCGGAGCGGAACAGCGAACACGCCCCCCTGCATTGCCGTTGCAAGCCGTGCGGAGCTCCCTTTGGATGGTAAGGCGACATCCGGATCGGATGCATTATTCCACCTTCGCGTCGCTTCGTTATCGACGTACTGCAATGCGCTGGATGCGCTAAGCTGGCTCGGAAGCTCTGGGGTCGAGACAGGGGTGCCTTGTTGACTTGAATTCCAGCTCCTCATCATGCCCAAACCTTTCTTGCCGACAGCTGCTCCGATCTGCCCTATGGTGTGCGCCACACCCCCACCTTGTGAGGCCGCCAACGGTTCCCAGTCACCTTTGCGACTGTTTTGCCCTCCTCCAGTCTGTTCTCGCGTGTAGCTCTTGGCGAGCTTGTGTCGCGGTGGGGGAGCCATCAGCGTGGGAGAAGGAGCAATGTTCCTATCGTCTCCCCCGTCTGCTAATCTATCTGTACTTCGCATGAACTTGCTTGATAGACCAGCGAGTGCTGAAGCCTTACGACTTGCCGGCATGGCTGCCGAAGTGATGTTGCTTCCTGACTGCGCGGGAGTCCTTTGCGCTCCTGGTGAGATTGATGGCTGCCGGTTCCGATTCAAGCCTTGAGGATGCCCAGAATCAGTCATCAAAAGTGAAGCACTGGCGCGTTCCTTGGAGTCGACTACTGGGCCATCTGCACCTGGCAACCTCCTCTTGTTCTTCGCAGATGCGGGTGCGCCACCCGTCGCGTATGGAATACCAGAGGCATTGCTGCCTCCATCGTGCTGCGCAGCTGGCCGCAATCTCGCTTGCGATAGAGCAGCTGAAGGAAACGCTGCGTAGGCGGCAGTGTTGACGCCCTCTGCGCCCGAGCGCGCGTTTGCAATGGAT